CCCTCGGTTTTGAAGGTGAACAGGATTATCAATTCCGCGACAGTCAGATCCATCGAAATACCATGTACGGCCATGACCACTACCTTGACGGGCCGCCGCAATTGAACAACTACGTACAGAGAATGGAAAGCCGGCTGCGTCAGATGCAGGAACAGAGTCGCAGAGGATCGGAAGACATACTGCCACCGGAGGATGACGAAGAGCCTCCACCTCCGCCACCTAAGCATCTCGCTTACCACGGAAGGCACAACTCAATCCCTGCGCAGTATCCATACCTTAGAAGTCGAAGGTCGGGGCAGGACTTGAGAGAAGACGCTCTGAATCGAAGTCACACGAAATCCAGTACCACCACTTCTTCAAGCGGAGTGCAAAGTATCAGTACGGCTATGACAGCCAGCACAGAACAAACGAGCCAGAGCTTGATGAGTGGCCCGTCGGCGGGCGCATTCAGCGCAACAAGTGCAGGAAGCTATGCCAGGCGAGGACTGACGACCAGTAATGAAAGGCCAAATACAGCCATGGAAACCTTTCGCTCAAGAGGCTTCAGCGATGTTTCACGCGTGCCTCGGCCTGAGACACCTCTTACTGGTATATCATACCACTCAAGTCACAACACCTCTCGGCAAGGCGCTTCATCTGCTATACCGTGGTCTCAACCCGCTGCCGATACCAGCGAATCCACCGCTGTTTTTGGCGGGCTATCGACTCCAAAGGCGAAGAAGCATGGGTTTTTCAAGAAGATTTTCGAATCAGCCAAGACCGGTGCCGCTAATGCCAGAAGCAGTATCGCCGTGGGACACAGTGGTGGATCCTATTCACCTACGAAAGGCAGGGCAATGTCTCCGATTAGACGCGACACGATTCGCGACGCAGGGGCTGGCACGGTAGACTGGGTGCAGGTTCGACGTGACGTGAATCGAGCAAGCTCGCCGAGCCGCAACGAACGCATCGAAAGAGCCGAGCGCTGCCAAATGATGGACCATCCTGTGATCTACGCTGTGGAGGAGCTTCATGAGACCGCCGAAGGTGATGAAAGTATTGACGGGCTGCCGATCAGCGAGCCCACCAACTTCAACACCGTAAACTTGAGCCTCGTCGATAAAAGTGCTCGGTTTGTCAACAGCCTTCCACCAATGACCAACCCGATGAGCCTTGCGCAGGGCTATGTGTGCCGACCTTACAAGAGCGATGTTCAGAGATTGCGAGCTATCTTCACTTGGGTCAGTGAAAAAGTTGCCTGGGACGAGCCCGTAGAGGAGATCGGAATTGACTTGAAACGAATTCTGCAAACGAGACGAGGAAGTCCTCAGGAAGTCGCGTTCCTTGTCAAGGAAATGTGCGCGGCAGTCGGTCTTCACGCGGAGGTAGTGCAAGGGTTCCTCAAAACACCCGGTGAATTGTTCGAGCTGGACAGTCTTTCGCGGCCAAACCACTGGTGGAATACAGTCCTGGTGGATGGCGAATGGCGCGTTATCGATTGTGCATTGGCAAACCCGACCAACCCGCGAAGGAATCAATTCGTCACCAGTGGCTCGTCAACAGCCGAAAGTTGGTATTTCCTGGCTCGTCCGCTTGAGATCTGCTATACCCATGTGCCATTGCATCCAGAGGAGCAACACATATGTCCGCCCATCTCGCCAGATGTGTTGCTGGCTCTTCCTACAGCTTGCCCACCTTACTTCAAGATGAACCTGCAATTTCCTGACTACGATACCAGCCTGATCAGAATTGACGGACTGGAGCTTCTACAGATCCGCCTTCTCGTGCCGCCGGACGTGGAATGTGCGGCAGAAGTCGAAGCGCCCGCTTTCGCTCGGGATGCCGACGGTGACTTCTTTGAGAGTGGGGAGGTTGTTCGCAAGCGTGCCTTGGTGCAGCCAGACTGGGTCGGCGGCCAGAAACGCTTCACTGTGAAAGCTGTTTTGCCTGGTGACGAAGGTCAAGGCACAGTCAAAATCTACGCCGGCAAAAAGGGCCTGATGCACTCAAGCAAAGACATTCCCCATCCGCTGGCACTTGCCCTTCCAATAATCCACACTGGCGAGAACCCTCCCTATGAGTTTGTCCTACGCCATCCGACACCTCATGCTCAACGGCACGACCTATATATCATACAGCCTCAGTGCGCGAAACTTGCGGTCAACAATACATTCGTGTTTGCTGTGCGGCAGCATCCTTCCTCGCTGCCTTCTCCAACGAACGGCAGCGAGTCGGGTCCTACTGGGCGCGTCTCGCCGTCGATCTTTGCCCGGCCCGCAAGTGCACTCAGTATGGTTTCCAGTTCCGCAGGCGGGTCTTCGGTCTCTGCAGTTTCCAACGAATTCTCGGCTTCTACGTCGGCCATATCGTCCACCAGGTCATCGTCCGGGCGGGAAAAACCGGCCAAGCTGGCAATCCAGTCGCCATCCGGCAAGATCCTCCGGCTCACTCGCAAGGCAGATCATATGATCAGCAGCGACTCTTCGGATCCCGCCGCCGATGGCAGCGTGTGGGAGACGGTGATCAAGATCGGGGAGCGCGGGACCTGGAGAGGCCTCGTGCTCGCCGACCGCGTTGCCCGGTGGTGTGTTTTCTGTGAATGGGAATGTTTCTAGATACGACAAGCCTTTATGTCTTGATATGGTGACTGTTCTTTCGCCCAAATTTATGAGCCAAGTCATGGCCTGTGGACGACATGACTATCAGTTGCCTCTTCGCATTTCTGGCCAACTGTTCGTTGTATTTCTCTTTACGCCATGGTTGCATTTGCATCGGCTACACCGGGTTGGAGCATGGCATTTGTTCATCTGTTGCATCTGGTTTTCTGCTGCATCCCCTTTTCCTTTTATTTTCTTTTACATTTCCATTCTTTTGATGGGACTACTGATGTAAACGTACTTGCGTTTACGTGTTTGGAGTTAATGGGACAATGGTCATGGGGAGCGGTTCTGGCATGTAAGACCTCTTTTTTCTTTATCATTCTGTATGTGCATCCGTCATGTTGTCTGAATTTGAATTGAGCATGCTTGTCGCAGGCGCGGCAAGCCAAATGATAGATTTCCTCTTTGCGTGTGCAGACCATTGAGACCTTGGAAATGGAGACCTTGAGAATTGATCATTGTGTGAAATAAGACATTCAACATTCGAGGGACAAGGTGGCCAACTGCCATCAATAACCTTGCGATGAATGCAAATTCCAGACTCATAGGACCTCTTATTGACCTGTAACGGCATCTCTCACCAAAGGAGCGACCTGTTTCCTGCTCTTGGTCACATCATATTGAAGCCAGATACGCCTCCATACCGGGGCATCACTGTTGTTGAAAGCAGACCTGATAGCCTGCGAATGATCCTCAGAGTCGCCCTCGACCGAGTTCCATTCTTGCAACCCCAGCTGCGGGCCAGCTTGCGCAGTAAACGCCTCCAGCGCCTGAACCGCCGGCCCATCGTGTAGAGCACAGGCAACCAGCTCGCGACAGAACCTGCCGTCCTGCCCAGATGTAAACGCCGTCATGACTACCACGATCCCTAGTTCGCGGCGCTTTGCAAACGCCTGCAGGGCATCCAGGAACGCCTCCGGGCTGCCCGCTTTCCGTACGATCCACGGGATCGACTTGACCATCGAGCAGAAGCCGATCTGAATGGAACTAGAGTCCTGGTGCGCCGTCTCTGTCCATTGCTTGTAGTCTCGGCCGAGGATCTCGTCTACGGTGAGTAAATCGAGGCTGTTTTGTTTTGCGTGGAGGACCTGCTCGTAGAAGGCGTCCCGGTCCCAGCTTGAGCCGGGTGTAGACTTGCACTGGTCAATCTGGGAGAGCAGGAATCGTACCGCGTCTGTATCAGCGTCGGTGACTTTGTCCTTGGCGGTGAGGTTGGTCGTGTCAATGAGAACAGGGGCCAGGGCGAGCTTGGCGAGTTGCATCGTCTCAGTTGAGATGGCGTTGCCTTCGGTGTTAGCCTGCCAGAGGTCCAGCTCTCGCAGTGTCGAGACCACAAGCGAAGTACAGGAGCCAGCGGGCCGCACAAGCAGCGGCTGACCGCGCGGGAGGGACTCGGCGGGCGGGAGAAAGCCTTCATCCACGTGGTGGTCGATGCAGCCCACCGTGCAGAAGTCGACGGAGGGCAAGCCATCTATCGATCCCTTTCCCTGTTGGCCGTTGGGCGCTCGGTGGGGTAGTGCGTTCCAGTCCAGGAGTGTGGCATCTGCGGTTATCCGATGGTCCGTGGGCTCAGCATGATATTGCCTTAGAAGGGCTGCAAAGTCTGCAACGGTGAGAACGTGTTCGTGGAGAACTCTTCCCGCAGATTCGGGGGTCTCATCCCATACGTCCTCTCCCCCAACTGAGGGGGTTGTAGTAACAAGGCAGAAAGCCTTTACGAACTCGGGACGGAGTCTGCGCAGTTCTGGACCAGAGGGGACATTTGGTAGATTTATCAGGGGAATATGAGGTCGAGGGCTGTCAATTGGAATGCGATTATGAGCAAAATAGGAATAGACAATGACGGAGACGGCGGAGTCAAGATCGGCAGAAGGATTTCCCACCACGTAGACGGGAGTCTCTGTCCACGAGGAGGATGACAGAGCTCCAGAAATGAAATTCAGATGTGTCTGACGTGCCTTCTTCAGAAACTGTAATAGACTCTGTAAAGAGGGCGGCGAACGAGCCATTCTACTCGCATTTGCATTAGGATTTTGTGGAAGTCAATAAAGTCCGAAAAGGGAAGCTCGTGATGATTGACATCATCGGCAAAACGACACCGCCCAGTCAGCAATGGACAACATCCAAAGGCTCAAAGACCTTCCAATGCCAGGTCTGGCATCAGTTGTGGATGAGTGTACATATTTATGACATCGTAATTTGCATGGTAAGCTTCAATTCCTGCGTATATTCTCTCTCAGTCAACTAATCAGCTATCTAGATACCCTTTCTCTGTACAAGCAAGTGAAACACCTCTAGTATATATCGCGGTCAATTCCTACGAGTAGTCAACAATCCGCATTCTCTACGTCTACCCTTGAGATGGCAGTCCCTCTACCGGCAGCATTTGCTCAGATTCCTCGATACTCTCTGCTATACCCCCATCCATCCCCAATTCACCCCCTCACGCTTCTATCCACATACCTCAACAACAACAACAGCAGTAACAACAAGAACAAAACACCGTATATCTCCCTCTACGCCAAACGAGAAGACCACTCATCTCCACTCGCCTGCGCAGGGAACAAGTACCGCAAGCTCGAATACATCATCCCCGACATCCGGGCCTCTCACAGCGCTCCCAATGGACCCCCACCAACCCTCGTCACCGAGGGCGCCATCCAGAGCAACCACACCGTGCAGGTCGCCGCGGTAGCGAAGCGACTCGGTCTCGATGCAGTCGTCGTCCTACACAAAGGCACAGGCGGCGGCCTCGCCGCCTCAACCGATAAAGCCTCGTTCCTGCGCACGGGTAACCCGCAAGTTGTCCGTCTCCTCGGTGCGGAGGTGAGGATGCTTGAGTCGTCGACTGTCCCCGCAGACGGCGAGGAGGATCCAATCCCTAGGATTCTGGCGGAGATACGCGCGCAGGGCAAGGCGCCGTATTGGATCCCCTCCGGGGCGAGTCTGCATCCTCTTGGTGGATTGGGTTATGCGCGGTGTGCGTTTGAGATTGCGATGCAGGAGCAGGCGCAGGGTCTGGATGGGAGTGGGCGCTTTGATTATATCTTTATTGCTTGTGGTAGTGGGAGTACAGTGGGCGGTCTGATCGCCGGGCTTAAGCTGTTGGAGAAGGAGGAAGGTAGAACCGGGTTGAGCAAACCACCTCGCAAGGTCATTGGGATACTGACTTCGCCTACCAAGCGTCGGGAGTACCATGAGGAACGGGTGCTGACGTTTGCGCGTCGCGCAGCTGCTCTTATTGGGTTGGATGCCGAAAAGGACATTTCCGTGGAGGATGTTCGGCTTGATGATCGGTTCGCTGGCACCGCATATGGTGTTCTAGACGCACAGACAAGCACGGCGCTGGACATGATGGCAAAACGGGAGGCAATAATGCTCGATCCCGTATACACTTCAAAGGTCGTACGTGGACTCTCGCACTGGGTACAGCAAGGGGAACTGGCAAAACACTGGTCACTTCGTCCGGGAGACCGGGAACGCCCCGACTTCATGAAAGTGCTTTTCATCCACACTGGGGGACAGGCCGCGTTAAGCGCCTATGCAGACATGGTCGAATCATAGCGGCAAGAGATTAAACAGTAAGATTAGAACTTTGATTCTATTGATAAGAAATACAGATAAGGTATTTTGGGTAGTATTACATCGAACGCGCCCAAAGGGAGCAATCGGCGCGAAGAAACAGAGAGGCTGAAGGATGTTAGCATCACAGAAACAATGTGATTTCACTCGTCATCCATCAGGGATCAGCCTCCGCGGGGCCGTAAGAGTATATAGAACCGTGAAGACACCGAAAGAAATAAACAACACAAGTGAAAAAAGGACCCAACTCCCCGCCCTCCTCATACACCATACGCGCCACCATGCGCAAAAGCAGCAACCAACGTACAGAGCACATGAAGCGTTCAAAAGAGCATCATTAAATAGAAAATCAACAAGCAGAGAAGTCATCAGCGAAAAGAGGAAAAGGAAAAAGAACCGGCATATAACAAACGCCGCAACAAGTCGCCGGTTCCGATGTAAACGCCGCAAGAATGCCCTTCTAAAAATAAAAACAAGCCCAGTGTGGACTTCACATCCCCATATGGTGCGCGTAAATCCAGGTGTGGAAAGGGAGATAGGTATCTGTGGAATCAGAAAGGATGCCGGATGGAGGAATATAATCGGAACAGCGCTTCAACTCGTGAAAACATTTTGTAAGGTCATATCAAGAACTCTCTGTTGTATCTCCGGCGTCGGCTTGGCCGTTCATGTCACCATCTATTCCAGTATCAGGAGACTCGTCTTGCATGGCGTCAGAGTGGTCCCCGCCATTACTTGCATCGAGGGCCTCCAATGCTTCGTTAGCGTGCGTGTTCTCCATAGGCTCCGGTTCTGGCTCGGGCTCCGCATCTTGGTTCGTCAAATCCGCGAAAACATCATCCAGATTGTGTCGAGGACTGCTGTTAAAAGGGTCCTGATTGTCAACGTCAACTACTGGAGGATCGGTAGGATCTCGATTAAAGCGAGGGGAGCTGAACAGAGCGCTGTCGAGCCCATGATGCGGTGATGGAGATCGCGGAGGGAATGAAGGAGAGTGCGCTGAAACATGCGGCAGGAATGCCGACGCTCCAGGTGCAAATGCCGGAGTAGAGTCGCTAGCAGGCAGAGAGTAATTGGCAGAGAAAGGATATGGAGGATTCTGTGCATCCGTCATGGGAGTCAAAGCTGGGCCGGTGCGATTGGAGTCTTCACCGGGAGTATGAGGTGTAGGCTGTAGAATTGCAGGTCGAGGAGTCTGCGATTCGAGAGACTTTCGCTTCGCATGGTTCGGTTGCTTAGTACGCAGATGAGGAGGAAGGTCTTCTGGACGCTCGACGCCTAACTGCGCCATTATTTTCTGCTGCTTTGTCGGCCGCGGTTTGCGCGTAGACAGTGACTGCTCCAGTATTGGTGGCGGCTCCGGCGCAACAGGTGCCCATTTATGGATTTCTTGGCGGAAGAAATTCGTCTCATACGCCAACAACACCTCGGCGCCCTCGATCTTGCGCAGGTAGAAAATTAACGTAGGCACTTCTTCCGTCGTTGTGCAGGCCGCATTGGTAAAGCCTTGTATAAAATCACGGAAGGTAGTTGCTTGGTTGATGATATTTTCCAAGACTTGTTCCTCATCAGGCTGGAAAGGGAGGCCTGGAATTTCGGCCTGCCAATCCTGGAGATCCTCGAGCTTGGGGCGAGCAGCATCTCGGGGAATCTTCTGACGCCAGTCGCAGATAGGACAAGTATACTTGTCAAACTCCTTGACTTTGCCCCTTGCAATCTTCAAGCATTTACCGTGGTACCTACATGACTCCAGGTCAGCCAGCTTGGAGCTACAGGTAAAGAAAAAGTATACACTCACCACTCATGGCAGACCTCACATTCAATCATCATCCCAGCCTCGGAATGCCTGCAAATGCAGAAGACATCCCGCTTTCGAGACTTCCCACCACCCCACATGCTGCTGCTGGTGGTTGTCGTGGTGTGGTTCTCCAAAAGACCGTCGGGGGTGTTATCTCGGGATGAGGGTTCCACAGGTGGCCGGCAGCGATCTTCCAAATCAAAGCAATAAGAATTCCTCTTTTCCACATACTCCATATGAGACTTCAGGATGTGTAAAGGGGCGTTGGCTTTCCCGAATAGTTTCTTCCCCTTTCGCATCCAGTCTTCGTGACGTTTCTGCTCGCGCTCCAGGTCAATTGCTCCCGTGGGCCGGCTATTCAATGCCTCCAGAGAATCCATCAGTTCACGGACTTCTTTATACTTTGGACGCTTTCTGAAGTCTGGATTCTTGCTTCGCTCGTATAGACTCTGTATTTTCTTCTGCGCTTCACGCTGTTTGGTCAATATCGCGTCAACGGCCGAGAGCGTTTCAGGAGAGACAGGAAAGCGTAGGGCCTGCGCAGACAACGCTTCGAGTTGTTGATAGTGAACCGATTCTACAGACATCAACTCCTTCGCTTTCGCTTCCCAAGTCTCACCGTGCCGGCACAACTCCTTGAAGTGACTGAGATGTTCGTTGGTTTCGGAGAGTCCCAATTGTTCGCCAGCCTGGACGAGTTCTTGACATTCCTTAAGAGTCATGTACTGATCACGCTTGCGACGCGCTTCATCATTCCACCTCATTTGTCGTAGAATATGCTCCAATCCTTCCACTTCGGGTATTTCCACATTGAAATTGCGAGCCGATTCCACCAACTCTTCCACTTCCTGGATCGACCGTATATGGGGGTTCAGAAGGGCAACGTTAACGTCCTGGCGGAATTTCTCGATCTCGCGGGTTTTCTCTTCCAGAGCCGCCATCTGTGGACAGTCGAAGGAAAGTTTATCAGCCTCTGCAAGAAGGGCGTACATGTTTTCTATCCTGCGAACTTCACGATCACGTTCCTCCAGCTGCGCGGCCTTAGAAGTACTCTTGCGCCAAGCCTTCTCGTTTTTCCTCCGGTTTTGCTGCTTCCGGGTGATGTAGTTGGTTGCTTCTTCAACCCACTTATCGCAGCGCTGGACGAAGGCCGCGAGATCTTGGAGACCATGCAGGTGGTATGGGATTTTCTCACCTTCGCTTAGTAGGCTATGAAGGACCTTCAGTTGGGGTTTCGGCTCATCTTCCAGAACCTTGTCAAGCTTCTCCCCCCACGCTTCCGGGATCCTGGCACGCTCCTGGACCTTCTGCACGAGGGCTCTCAGTGTGTCATCACTCATCCTGTAACGCAGCGTATGGTCTGGGCCTAACAGCCGCTGAGAGGGCGAGTCTCCGCAGCAATCAAAAGACTCCGCATGCAGCAGGCACACTGTCTTGCCAGACTTGTGACAACGAAACTGAGTCAGGTACGTATACGCCTTGCAATACTGACACTGGTAGTCCTCTTCCGGAAGATCTTCTTCCTCAATCACAAACTTCAGCTGGCATTCACCAGAAGCTGACGAGTCCGCTGAACCAAGTGCGCAGTTGTGCGGTGCGATTTCACGATGTCGATGGATGAATGTTGCTCTCTGTGCAACCTCTCGGTGACATGTCCGTTGAAGAGCCGGGGCTAGCCATTTAGCCGTCGTAATCGAAGTATCCCGAGCGGCTGCCGTCAGAAGCAGTTCATCGTGGGAGAAGCACGGGTGGCGGCGGAAAGCCTGGAGTCTCTCAACGCCCATTGCGCCCCAAGGCTCCCAATCAACAGGGGCGAAGTTCACGGCTTCATTGAAGTTGAATCCGTGATTGAAACCAGCATGGTATGCCTGGGGGAAGGTAATGACGAATTGCCCAGCCCGTTGATCAAGAGCGTATACGTTAACACCAGCCTTTTTCAGCTGGTCGGGTGGCATCAGAGTGACGAGTTGGAAAAGTAGATCAGGCTGACCCTCGAAAAGCTCTGGAACCGCTTGGCGCATGGCCTCTTCGAATGCCTCTGCGTCGGACCCTGGAATACCATACCAAGTCTTCGTTGCACCGAAATGCTGATAATTGGCGGAGTAGGCATAGTGATCCTCGTTGTGCCAACAAAATGTCGAAAAACACATGCCCACGTAAACCCAAGGAACTGTCATACCGGAGATGTCCGACTTTATGTGACGGAAGAGTGAATCGCCATGGAAAGGAAGGACATTCAAGTTCCAGGGGTCTGTTGAATAGGGATCAAGGGGATTGCGTTCAATCGTGGGAAAGCCACTGCCGTGTGTGGTCGAATGGATGTCGGCACCATACTCAACCTCGACGGTTTCAGTCAAGCTCTCGACCAGTCTCCAAAATTCGCGTTCCACGTCGTCCTCAGACTCTCGCCGATGAGTATTCAACACCGGGTCAAAGGGCATTTTGGAGGCGAAATAATTCTTCTTGAAGCTGTTTGCTTTCTCCTGGAACTGCTTGAGCGAGTAAACTCCGCCTTCTTCAAACCCGAACTCGCCTGTGCCGACCAGGCACTTGGGGCAGTGCCAGTCATACTCGGGGATAGTCGTCAAAGGAGGATCAAGACAGTTTCTGTGGTAACCCTGGTCGCAACTGTCGCAAACAAGTATCGAAGGTCGATCCTCGGACTTGCCACAAACCTCGCATTTCTAAGGAGAGTCAATAGTGTTACACATTCAATGATCCCGAGATTTTATGCTTACATCGCCGATCTTCCGACTGTCGCTTTTGCGTGCCCGAGGCGGAGCAGGACGGAGGAGACTCATGTGTGAACCCGCGACGGTGGGTGGTGGTGCATCTAGCGGTAAGTCAGACAAATCAAGCCACGACAAACGTCGATAAAACATATGCTTACCCTTTCGAAGGCGCTTGCTTCTTCGCCCACTTGCGTCTGTTTCTCCACCTTCAGTCTGCGAGCCACTTTCATGGCTGATGGCGCGTTTCATGGGATGGCTTCCATTGCCGTTGGGGACAGGCGTCGAACTTTGAGGGTGTTCAGCAACGCTTTGCGGCGTAAGCGAGCCTGTCTCAGCCTCTTTCTTGACAACTGGGCCGCTATTAACGGCGACGAAAGATGGAGAGCGATTGACAGCAGTAAAACCGCCGCCACCGGCATTGACAGGAGTGAAGCCGGACATAATAGGTCGAGGGGCCGCGGCTTCCACTGGAGGGGTGGGCTTATCAGGAGTGGCTTCAATTTCCTTTGGAGTAACATTGGAACCACCAGCGGCCGGCATATTCGGAGGAGCTTGGGGCGTAGCGGATGGTGTGATGTGGTCATACAAGACGGGCTTCTTAGCCATAGGCGACTGGTTCGGAGACGGCGTGTACGGACCACCATGCTCTAGCTCCAGTTGCTGCTGCACTCCCGGTTTGACCAACCGGAGGTATTCCTCGTAAGGCTGAAGCCATCTCTGATACGAATTCTTGAGTGAGGTCGACAGGGAGGACATGATCTTGCCGCTGTACCCAAGATCACGCCCAATCTCTGCCCATTTCTTCATTTTGCAGACTTGGTCGAACCCGCCACGTATTTCGACGGCCTTCTTGAGCTTATATAGGTCCAAGGGACGCTTATCCACGCTAGGAAATCGGTTCAGGTTGGTGCCATGTTGTTTGTGAAACTTGGCCAGCTGGTCGAGATAATTCAAGTTTGCACGGGTTCCTGAGTCCGGGTCAGAACTAGGCTGCGGAGTTGCACCGGCAGCGAAAGTGGCTGAACGCGGGGGCATACCTCCTTCAACCGAGTTAAGCTCCTGCCGACGTGTCTTGAAGTGAAATCGCTGGAACACGGTGGATGTTAGCATCGGATCTCCCAGATGGTGATCCCGTGGCCTCAAAGAATTACGGAAGGGAGCAGGGTGTGTAGAAGCGAGCACAGGGATGAGAATTACAACTCGCATACCTCTGTGTCAATCGCAAACGGCGGCTGCCAATTCTCTGGTGGAATGATTCTGCAGATTCCATATTTCTTGCCCTCGGGCGCTATCTTGCGGATGTATTCCAAGGGATCCTTAAATTCTTCCTCTGTCGGACGGAACGTCGGAGCTTCCTGTAAGCCATGTGGACGGATTCGTTTGCTAGGCTCTCGAGGAGCATTGGGCTGTCCTCGTCGCTCGACCGTAGATAAGTCGAGGGGTGCCGACCTTCGAGCGCTCAAGGGTACATTGTGAGAATGCGACGGGTGGGTGCTCGACGATCGAGTGGGCTGACGGTTCGCTGGAGGCTGTACGCCTGTCGAAATCGCGCCCGTAGAGGCCGGAGCCACCATCTCTAGGTAACGACAGCTAGCCGGGGGACAAAAGGTAATGTTGCGCGTGATTTTATCGCGGACGGAAGGGAGAGGAAGTCCGATGCGAAAAGCGCATTGAGGACTAAATCAGATGAAAGGAAGAGTCGAACACAAACGATAATTGTCCCCGTGGTTGTTGTATAATAGTGAGTGTCCTCTGAATAAGGAAATGGGCAGCAAATAGGAGACAAATGGTGATGATCGAGGCGGAGAAATAATAGTACTTGACACTAGTAGAGCGAGCGAAGGAAGAGAGAAAGAGAGAGAGAAGTAAAGGCGAGGCCGAGATGGTCCCGGGAGGGTTTAGTGTGGAGAATCTCGGAAGAGGGAACAAGCAGGCAGGTCAGGACAGCGGAGTACGGTGGTTGGAAGCAGTCTACTCAGGTAGTCTCGAGAGCCCAATCAATCAATGAATGGATGAATGAATAATAAAGTGAAGTTAACATTTAATACTAGTTACAGATGAGGAAGCGTAGAGTCATTAAAACACATCTCACTACTATCGCATACTACATAGTAATGAGCTGGTCAGGCTGATGTAGGAAGTGTATCTATCAACCTCGCTACTATGAGATATATACTAGCACTACAACTTGTAGGAGCAGGACGACAAAAGGAGAAGGAAAAACTGAAGTACGGTTTTCCGGACACTCAAAGGAAAAGACGAAAATGATAATAATATTGAGACAAGGTCTGAATACTACGAGAAAAAAGCAAAAAAAAGAAGGAAAATCACTGGAGATTAAGTGGACAACGCCCCGAAGCGGAAAGGGAGATCATGGCTTTGCGCAGCCTCATAGTAGTCGTAGTAATGGCCTGAGTAAGAATGAGACCTGATAGTACCTACGGCTGGTAGCGAACCCTTCCAGGATACAGAACCAAAACGGTAAATATCGGGTATTAATTACAGATGAAAACAATACCAACCATTACATTACTGTATCTTACCTACAATATGCCGCAAACGGACGATAAGGTGACCTAGAACGGACAGGTAGTTCAGGTCTTGAGGTACCAATTTAAATGACTGGCAAGACCTCCTATGTTGACTAATAGAGTCTAATCATCGGCTGGAGAGTTATCAGGTTATTAGGTGCTCTTCGCATGAAGAGTGGGCTGTAGATTAAGCCACCTTCTGCGGTTAATTTCGTAGTCTAGGTACATTACCTTAGCCACATGCACACCTGCCCACATCAGCCCAGGTCAATGGAGGACTAATGTATGGACCTACATGCCCCCGTACTAACCGTACGAGGCCTGTGAGTCGAGGTAAAGAACTTCGATACATATCTCACTTTCGAGGTACAAGGATTGGGTCACTGTGGGGTTTTGCAAATGTCCTCCTGGTTCCCTGAGGTACCTTAGCTTGTTAGCTATGCGGACTTCGATCAGTTAAGTGATCTCTGGTGGAGCAGGAGGCTGTAATCTATCTACGGGGGGTATACTCCATACAAAACTCGAAGCCTCGGTGCGAAGCCTCGGTGATCCGAGCTGACTGAGGTTCATGGTATGGTCGTCGTATCCTTACAAGAGGTATTTCCCTGCGTTACTTGGATATCGACGTGTGCTTAATCTCCATGACCCGCCAACCATGGACTGCATGCGACTACAAATCATCATCATTCTTCTTCTTCAGAAAAAGCCTTAAATGACAGTATCATATACTTGGGCCGCGGCAATTTGTTGCTTCGCGAAGAGCCTCTATATCGTCATCTTGACTGACTCATTATTTCCCTTGTTCTCACATCACATCTCATTTCAAGCCTATCCCTGGTAACCCAAGGCTTGGATGAATCTGCAGGCAGCTTTCCGTAACACTATAGAGCAAAATAGGGTGGTACTCTACACATGTATAGTAATTACCTGCAGGCTGGCAGTGCAGATTCTGCTAAATTCGAAAGGCTTTCTTCTTGTCATTTCCAGCTAATGGTGCGTAATAGTAATATTCAGTGTTTGGAATGATGTGATGCCTTAGGCAGAAGCGGTGATGCTTATCTGCACTCATCATGTGATTTGCTTTGTTGATGTTGGACCATCAATAACAGAATAAACAGTAACCTGATATCAACAAGACTGGCGTATTTATCGCTATTAGTCATTATTGTTGTTTGAAAGGAATGTCGAACCGTAGCCTTAGCTTGAAAGGGTTTGAAATACGGAGTACTAGGGCCAAATTACCTGTTTATCAGACGTCGCCTCCGATTCCTAAATACTGACAACAGTGCCATGGATGACATCCAAATAGAGCATCCAAGGCCTATCCCAATTTTCTATTGCTGTTATCTACTCCGCTCGACTGTGAGACATGCCTCTCTCTATATCGGGTCCACGCCCAATCCTGCAAGACGACTGATTCAGCACAATGGCGTCGTCAAGGGCGGCGCTCGTCGGACTGCCGCCGAGAAGCTGAGGCCGTGGGAGATGGTTCTGGTGGTCGAAGGGTTTACGAGCCGCCTCGCAGCTCTGCAGTTTGAGTACGTCTCTCCCTAGTCATCTTGCCTACAGAATCTAACGCTCCCAAAGATGGGCTTGGCAAAATCCTTGGTACTCGCGCCACTTACGATCAGAGGAAAGCTCGGCTCCTGCAGAGGTCAAGCACAGGAGAAAGAGGAAAGCGAAATCTGAGGATCCGGAGTCTCTCGATTCTAACTGCGACTCGGCTAAGTCCAAAGACAAGGCGACACCTAAGAAAAGCAAAAGACGTCCTCGTCCCCCGAGATCCTTGGACACCCATTTCTCCGATTTACATCGCCTGCTGAGGTCGACATACTTCTCACACTGGCCTTTACAGATAAGATTTTTCTCGGGCGACCTTTATCAATCCTGGAATGCTTGGTATGATCGAGTCGATGTTCGTCTTCGAAGCCCTGTCAAGGTCATCTTGGACGGGAGTTGTCCTGAGATCGGCGCACACGCCGGTGGGAATGACATCAAGTTTGGTGGCGTTGAAAATGCCAAGATAACCTATGCCACAATCCGAGACTATATAGAGAAAGCCATATTCCTTCTCGACGACCCAAAAGATGTTCGCTGTCATGTATGCCAGGGGCAAATCGTCCCAAAGGAAGAGTTGACAACTGTCTGCCCACAGGCAGAATGCCACTGTACCTGCCATCTACTATGCCTATCGAGAAAGTTCCTTGATGCGGCCCAGGAGCCAAATCAATTCATTCCAAGGCACGGAATTTGTCCTGCATGTGAGGCCACTGTCGAGTGGCCATTGATGATGAAGGAGCTGAGCTTCCGGAGTCGCGCAAAACAAGAGCTGTTGGAAATTTTGAAACGGAAGAGAAGAGATGATCGAAAACAAAGTGTCGTGACTGGCAAGGTTGAATCGTCGCGTCGAAGATCCGTATCAGTCGATTTAGATGACCGTTTCGGTCAAAATGCCGAAGATGAATTTCTTCTGGATGAAGACTGGTGGGAGGGATTGGCGTCAGAGTCAGACTCAGACGCGGATCTTCGATTGAAGGCCCTTTTGAAAGCTGCCCCGAAACTAGAAACTGTTATCGAGGACAGCGAGTGCGACGACGCTGAAATTCTGTGAAAGAGCTTCCTTTTTCCGAATTCTGCTGGGACACATGAGCCATTGCCTTAGTTTGAGAGTGGTCCCAGCCTCTTCAAAGGCCCCATGGCATCAAGTCTCTCGATAGAGTCTGTCACTATCTTCATAATATCCTGCGACACTGCATCGAAGGACCTTCCGGCATCAATTGTGTGAATAGAATCACCCTGCTGGAGGCCAAAGAGCGTTTGGAATAGCTCGCGCACGCGGTTTTGCATAGTTTCATTCTCATAGCGCTCGACGCCGAATCCGCCACGCTTCGCTGCTTCTTCGGGGGATATGCGGAGGAAGAGGCACATATCCGGCTGCGGCAATCCGATTTCTGGCTGCCATGCCCACTCCAGCGACAGATTACGATTGCCTTTTGCAGCCGAGTAAACGGCACCAGAGTAGGAGTAACGGTCTACTATGACAGTGATGCCGTTGGCTATATCATCTTCAATGCTCTTCGCAATCTCCCAGCGATTTGCTGAGAAGAGGAGATGAATGGAATGGTCGTCCGCTTGGGACTGGCCTTGTAAATAGCTATTTATCAACTTTCCAATGGGAGTTGTTCGATCTAAAGCGCGATCAGCAAAGGGAGTTTCCCTGCACAGTTGAGGAGAAATAGATACCTGGAAACCGAATATACTTCACAGAGTGCCCTGATGCTTGGAGCGAGTCACGTAGACGTTCACATTGGCTGGATTTGCCCGCTCGATCCAGGCCTTCGACAACAATGAGAGCTCCACGTTTCCGCAGACTGTTCATCTTGTCCGAATTGCTTATGGTAATATCACTTGAAGTATCAATTCAATACTGTCTAATTGTGATTGAGAACAGTGGAGAATTGGGCTGATGCGTGTGGTACAAAACGCGGAGGAGAAACAAAGCGAACTGCGGTGTCTAGTCCAGCGGATTTATCGATTGCTAGCATTAACTAGTACCGTCGATCGTTCAGCTCCAGCTTCCTTTTCTATCTCAACACGATCACCACTCGCAAACGCAAGACATTGGCACGAGCTCACTCTTGTCGATCGTCATGAGCTTACCTGAAGCATCGTCGCAGTCTCCCGATGAGATGGTCAATTTCACTCTCCTCAGTCCTGCAACTGCCCCGATCCTAGCCCCGCGGCTGGGAAATTTGGCTGTTGCGGGCAGAAAAGCTATCCCGACGCCCAATTACATTCCGCTCACGTCGCGAGGGGCTGTACCTCATATTGCGCATGATGTGATGCGCGACCAGACTGCGATCGGCAGCCTGTTTATTGGTCTCGAGGATTGTAGGTCCATGTCCACGCTGACGTGCATTAAGCAAGGAAGATAGACGCTGACGATGTTCGATGCCCACCTGGGCTCAGATCAGTCATAGAAAAGCAAGCAAATACAGGACCGCTCCGGAAGGGAACGCCCCCGATATACAATGTACCAGCTGCGCCGCATGAGTCGGCCTTGCGCAAGTTCATCAGTGTTCCTGAGAATTTCCTGCTCATTCTCGGTCCGCGACGGGTGCCTTCGATAGCCTGTCCCCCGAACAACACGCCTAATTCGATCTCCATATTGACGTCGGTCGGGTTCAGGCAGCTAGAGGCCGGTGAATATGTGAAAGCAGTGCGGAAGCTACGGCCGGACATCGTGGTGGGATTAGCAGACTTGGCCCAGGGGCAAACTCCCGGCACCAAGAGGAGGGTAAAGATGGCTGACAGAACCCATGCATTCACTTCGCATGCAACGGAGCAGCTCTATGGTCAAACAGTACCAGAAGAACATCGGTCAAAATCAGCATACTTTGCGCCTGTGCTGCCACTTGAGAACACACAGCAATCGCTCTACCTGGCCGACCTTGAGCATGAGCTACGCCCTCACATCTCCGGTCTCGCATTGCACGAGTCGGCGTCGCTATCAATTCTCCCGGAAAAATTAGGCAACCTGCCCCGACTACTCTTCAGTGATCCAGCTACACCACACGACATTCTGCGTCAGGTATCTCTCGGCGCCGATATCTTCACCATTCCTTTCCTGGGGGCTACCTCGGACGCGGGGATAGCGTTGGATTTCACCTTCCCAGCCCCATCCACGGCGGAGACGACTGCAAGCGAACCTCGACCTCTCGCGTTCGACCTGTGGTCCACGTCATACAAAGTAGACACAGCACCCTTGAGCACGTCCTGCGAGTGCTACGCATGCAAAAACCACCACCGCGCCTACATCCACCACCTACTATCCGCAAAGGAAATGCTCGCATGGACATTACTCCAGATCCATAACCACCACACCATGGACAAGTTCTTCTCCGCTATTAGAGCAAGCATCGAGCGAGGAACCTTCGACACAGATGCCGACGTGTTTCAAAGAGTTTACGCCCCAGAATTACCAGAGAAAACCGGCGAAGGCCCCAGGTGCGTATAGCTCACGGATTTGCATAGGACCAGCCATCTTCTGACCCTGATCAACTAATACTTCCGCATATAGACTCCGTGGCCACCAGCTCCCCGCAGCTGGACCGCACCAACCCCGACGCTTCCCCCGCGTGTATGGTCGTCTCGACGACGCAGCGGAGAAATTCGCAGAGTCGGAATCGTCTATTGCCACGCCAGATACGGGCGCTGATGGTCTAGAGGCACATGGCTTTGCGCAGAAAACCTCCACTTAGATTATTCAGATCCGGTGTGGTTTCTTTTCAGTCATGATATATTGTCCTGTCAAAAAGAGAGGTGTCCGAAAAGTAGCGTAATTCAGGCTTCTGGCGCCGTGGCGTTGGTCTTGTTCTATTTCAGAATCGAGGCATTTGTCATTCGACGACGGTGGCGCGAGGTGGTGGTAACGTACTACAATCGCCCACACATCGACTGACTTGCGAATGATCCAAGGAAAAGTCTAGACAATCTTAACACCGCATTCATGTCATTAGATATTCACACTTCATTCAATCTATATCATGCTATGTCCATCTCACACATAAGTACAAGAGAACTACATTTCTGATCCGGGTAGAGGACGAGCATACATGATATGAACATCGCGAAAATTCTCCCTTGTCACGGTCGAGTGTACAATGGTCGTGCAACTCGGTACTTGTAGACCTCACTGGCTGTTAATCAACACATTCCACATCCACTTCGTCTCCTGCTGTTCTTCTTCCGACCCGTTTTCCGTACCGGCTCCAAAGTCCTGACCCACGACACACACAAGCCAAACGTCGTTCTTGACTTCTTCAAGAAGGCGCTCGGTCGGAGTGCCACGGGGATAGACCCGGCGCCACTCATCCCAGATACGGAACGCCTCTTCGCCCCAGGCCCTAAAGCTGACTTCTTCAATGATGGTTGGAGTGACTATCTCCTTGCCGCGGAAGACACCCCACGTCACAGCGTTGACGTTGTTGGGATTCATCTCAATGGTATCGGCATGGGCAGGGTCAGCGGGAAGAGAGGACTCGAATTCGCCCTTCACGTTGGTTGCAAACCATGCGAGCTTCTCATGTCCGTGCTTTGCAAAGAGTGGTTTGAGCACTGTCTGGAAGTCTTTGCTAGGACAGAAGAATTCAACGAATGGCTTCTGAAAGACGAATCCTTCGCCTGGAGGACCCCATCCAAAGGTTGGATCGTCGCTTCGGACGCCATTGACAGCCGGTTGGGATGCCAGAGTCCACCAGCCTTTGCTGTCAATGAGCTTCAGTAACTCGGGTCGGATGACTTCTGTCTCAGCATTCAAGCCACTGCTATTCTCTTCCGCCCCGCCTTCGGACCAGGGAACGATATAGAGGTCGCCAGAGACATGGCGACGGAATAGTGCACTTATGTCTTCGCGGGACACAGGATAGCCCCAGATGCGCCGCGCAACAGCGCCCGAAACATGTAGTGAAGGGCCGTACCCATCAATCTCTCCGAAAGCCGGCGAGCGAGCGTCACCCCAACGACCGTTAGGGAAATCGTCCCACGTCGCTTCTCTGCCGAGCGCTCCCTGACCCTCCGAAATCTGGAGCGTTGTGTTGCGATCTGGGGGCATCGCAGGCATTCCAGCGCTAGCGGCGGGCGCCTCATGTGTTGATGCTCTCGATGACCCGTCTGAGGGCACCTGTAACCTGTCGACAATGACACGGTTATGTGGGTGTGAGTTAACGGACGAAGCCCTGCGCCGGGATAGAGAACGATTCTGAGCTCCAGTGGGAGCAGTAGTGTAGTCGTCGTCCACAACAGCATTGGTGTCTTCTGGATAATCAGGTATCAAACCACATCGTTCGATGATGAAAGAAACTGTCTTTTCAAGATTCAAGGTGTAAAAGTGAAAGCCCCTAAATCCAGGGCAGGGTATCTTCTTGATAGCCTCAACCAAATCACTGAGAACATCCACGCCGATGCGCTTCACAGCATCATCATCATGTTTCACTGCTTCCAGACTCGCCATGATCTGTGGTGGAATCTTGACATGACTCAGTTTCGTCGTTCTTGTCAGAATCTTGTAGCTGTGAATAGGCATCAACCCAGGAATAATCGGGATGGTTTTAAAAGCACCGGACTCGTGGTTTCGTAGCATTTCCTCGAACTTTGTGTAGGCTTCGATGTCGTATGTCAACTGAGTCATGATGAAGTCCGCACCGGCCAGGGTCTTCTCGACCAGATATGGTAGATCCCTCACTGGATCCTGTACGTCCTGGTAAGAATCGACCGGGTGCCCCTCAGGGTACGCAGCAACGCCCAGACAGAAGTAATCACCGTACTTCTTGCGAATGTATCGTACCAAGTCCACCGCGAATGTGAAGTCCTTGTTGCTGTCATCTTCTCCGTGCATGTTGTACTCTTCACTGCGTGGCGGGTCGCCGCGAAGCGCCAGGATGTTTCGAATCCCCAGAACCTTGGCCTCCTCCAAGGCCTCATCGATCAACGCTCGACTCATGTTTGTGCATGTTAGATGAAGGCATGTGGTTAACTGCAATTGACGCTGGCAGATCTCTGCAAGTTCCAGCGACCTGGCGGCAGTGCTTCCACCGGCTCCCCAAGTGACAG